AAAAAATTCAGCTCATCATCTTCTCCTGACGAATACTAAAACTTTCAAGAAAATGCATAACTTTATGCTTTTGTAAAGTCCTAATTGCCAAAAATTCCTGTAATTTTAGCCGGAACCATTTATACCTGAAGAATTTACTCCAGAAGGGATGTTAATGAGAGTGCACATACTCATATCGCGTGACCTTTGTGTGGAAACCTCCGATTGGCCTCCAGCTTCTGCTTTTGTGGTAGGTTCCTCCATAACTCATGAAGAGGTATAAGCGAGGTTTGTGATAAGAATAGGATGGAGAGGGAAAGGAGAGAGCAAGACCTTCCCTCACCCTTTCTTTCTTAAATCTCGGTTTTAAATAATTTGGATGGGATGCAAAAGGCTCTGAAATTTTCACAAGTCGTGCTTGACCTTGGCCTTTGAGGTTTAACTTAATTCTGCTCTATCACTTTAATTCCATAACTTCTTCTGTTGCAGCCGTTGCTGGGTGATTCAGGGCAGTCATGTGAAGCATCATGTAGGGCGGCAGGATTAGTTTGCGAGCCAACGTTCTTTGAGCTAGTCAATACCGTTGAGTTTTTGAGCAGGTAAACTTGTGTGGTGATTGTTAATCCTTAGGAATGTTCTAAGTATTGGTCCTGTATATTCTATAAATGCGAATCGAATGTTTTTATGAGTTATAACGTCCGAGAATTGTTTTGTATCATAAACGTAATGGAGCTTTCTTAGTGGGAAATTTCTGTTTTGATTTAGTTTAATAACGTTTTTAAATACAGGAAGTGAGCTGTTTGATTTTAGCTTTGCTGGCTGTTCAGAACGGGATATGGACGTTTCTGATGAATCGATTGCTCCATACAAATGCTCCCTGCAATTAAACTCATCCATGTTCAGCTGCGCCTCGCTACCTCCGCCAGGCAGCGGGTTTTTGAGAGTATGTCCTTGTAGGGATCATATGCCTGGACAAGTAGCGATCTGTGATCATTGCTTATCCTAAAATACCACGTAATGGTTTCGATCGGCGTTTTATTTATATCGAATGTTTATTTTTGACCTTTTTTCTATTCATATAGAACTTTTTTGCAAGCTTCTGATCACAGCATTTTTTTTCTTACAAATCCAAATTTTCAAGTATTTCAAAGGTGATACCTTTTAACTTAAACAGAAGAACCTGGAACTTTTTAGGGAACTACTGTTCTTCTGTTCAAGTTAAAATGAACTTGGTTTTTTTTTTCTCACAGTGTCTAGCTTCCTCCCTTGCCAGATCATCTGTATTGCCATCCTCCCGATTTGAATTAGTCATTATATCCCTTATGGCTACATAAATGTTTTATTATCTAGTGTTCAGCCACTCTGTGATATCATTAAGCTCTAAATGTTTGATATAATTAAGGTCTAAATGAGGAAAAAAACTTTATAAATTTTTTTCGATCATTTCTTCATGCATCGATTCTAACTTATCCTCGAAAACCTACCTATTTTTTTTTAATATTGGTTTTCTTGATTCAGTTCAAATTACTGATTTCTCTCATTTTGGTCCCTCCTTCTATTTAATCTGTTTGTATTTCGTTACATTCTCTCTGGCGGCCAGTTTTCCATCGATTTTCCCGGAATCCCTCTTTTCTAGAATTCTCGGGCAAAGGGTCTTTGCCATGGACGTAATCCTTCTCAAACCTTGCTTCATTTAGTTGAAAAGCTACTGCTTTTAATGTTAACACTTATACGCTTAAATATCTTTTTTCGCGAAGTTTTCGTTTTATTCGTTCATTTTTAGTTGCTCGGTTCGGTTTTTTGACATTGTGATTATTACCTCTTGCTTTAATTTCTTACTTCAGATACCCTATGATAGGCACCAATGCTTAGCAATCGGCAACCGAACACGCTTCATCTCCTAGCTGGCAGCTCGACGACAACGGCATTAGATGCTGCTCGCTCATTGCTGGGTGAGTTGAATAGGGCTCTCCTTTATTTTATTTTATTTTCTTGTTCTTCTACTTAAACCTGATTTCTCCTCAGCAAATGGTGCCAACGCTTGCGCCAAAGGTGATGAAGGTTTGACACCTTTGCATGTGGCTTGTGCTTATGACTGTTTGGCCATGGCACAGCTTCTAATGCACTATGGCGCAGATCCACAAGCCGAAGATGCACATGGAAGGACACCGTTTAGTATGGCTACAGGAAATACGCAGAGGTAAGAGAAGGCATTGTCTGCAGGAAAATAAGAGCTAATGTATTTTCATTCCAAGGATAGTTCCATTATTTTGCTTGTGAAAAAAAAAACTTAACTCCTTTATAACCCATCCCATTTTTGGATATTGGAGACATCTTCTTGAGATTGATCGTATAAGTTATGACTTTATTCAATTTTATATACCTT